GGTCCTGCTTTGAGCAGGGGGTTGGACTAGATGACCTCTTGAGGTCCCTTCCAACTCTGATATTCTATGTTTCTATGAATTTATAGCTGCCAACCTAATCTAACTGCTTAAATGTAATCGCTATTTGCCTAGTAATTGTTACCAGGGATGGGAGGGGTAGAGAGAGAGGGGAATGGGTGGGGGGGATGAGGCTTGACTGCAAAATGTATAAAAGAAGAAAAGCTGTTTCTGTTAACGTGCTTGATTTGAGACGTGCCAGTCTCCTTGCACCACTTTGAGATCTCAAATAAACTTTGCTTGCTTCTCCACCTGGTGTGTTCATTGACGCGAAGCACACCGGGCAACGAACCCACTGTTGCTGTCCTCGAGCACACCTGTGCTGGCAACACAGGGACCAGGGCAGGCCAGGCCTCACTGGGGCACCCCCTGTGACGCTGCGGAAATTCTCTAACAGGTTTATGAATGACAGGCATGGCAGTGACTGGACTAGGTGTTGCTACCCAGTGGGAGTCAAAGGGTCACCCGCTGCTCTCAGGGCAAGGCAGGTCCTGGAGCTTGTGTCAGGAACGCTCCGGGGTGGGATGATGGGTGTTAGGCCTGGCTGAATCTGACCCAGCTCAAGGGAGGATGCTCAGACAGGGGAAGCGGCCAGGACGAACTCGGGCAGGGGACTGAACTCCAGGACAATGGCGCGAGAGGTGACAGGAGGCTGGGATAAAAGCAGCCTTTGCAGAGGCCTGGGAGCTCACTTGGGCCTCAGAGACAAAGGGACAGAAATGGCTTGGCCAGCACGGACAACGTCCAAACCGCAGCTCCCTGGGGCTGACCTAGGGCTTCCCCGGGCTGTGTTCCAGGTGCCTGCTTTGCACAGGCGGCTGGTGTCGCTGCAGACCCTGCTCCAGGTGACTAATAAACCCGACTGCTTTGCACAGGCGGCTGGTGTCGCTGCAGACCCTGCTCCGGGTGACTAATAAACCCGACTGCTTTGCACAGGCGGCTGGTGTCGCTGCAGACTCTGCTCCAGGTGACTAATAAACCCGACTGCTTTGCACAGGCGGCTGGTGTCGCTGCAGACCCTGTCTGTGGTGCCTGGATCCCTGAAGCGTGTAGAAGTCTCTGACCAGGAGCGTCTGGCAGCTGCACTCACTGGGCAGAGCTCAGGGCAGGACCCAGGAGGCTGGGAACCCAGTGGTTCTGTTTAGTAGGTGTTGAGGTCGCATGGCCTGACCTGAAGGGAGAGCAGGACCCTTCGGGGTCTGGCCCACTGAAGGGGTTCCCCCAAGGGACTGTTTAAAAGCGGAGGGGTGGCACAGATCCTGTGGATCAGTGACTTCATGGACAGGTATCACTAGGGAATCCCAGGTATCTGCCTGACCACCACGCACAGGACCTGTTCCCACCCATCTCCCACCTGTTGTCCCTGATGGCCAACCAGCTGGGAAGCAATAACGTACCCTGCCCCACACCAGCTCCCTCCTATGTGAGGCTCACCCCTACTGATGGGCCTTGCCCCCAAGTCCCTGCCTCTCCGCAGGCTCAGCCGGGCAGCCGGCCGGGGTGCCCGTCCCTGCTGTTCCAGGGCCTCAGGTCCATGCACACCTTTCTCGTGGCAGACTCCTTGCTCTGCTCCAACAGGTGCTGCTCCTGTGTAAGGATCTCGATGCGTGCCTCGCGGTGCTGACAGTCCTGCTCCTGCTGCTTCTGCACCACCTCTTCGCGCTCCGCCCGCCGCTGGCACCTGGCCACTTGCTGAGGGCAGGAAGGGAGCAGACATGGCACCAGCCGCCCACACAGCTCAGCCCCTCCCAGTCCCCCAGCATCTACCCGAGCCATCGCCCCAGGCTGCGAGTGTCCGACTCGACCCCCTCCATCTGTGGAGAGCCCACCCCGCCTTCTCCCTGCAGCTGTGCTGGGGCTTGGGGAGTCCCCACTGCAGCCCAGCGCCCCCAGCACCACGCCGGCTGAGCTGGTCTGATGGGTGACAGCACCAGGCGCCAGGCTCTCCCGGAGGCGACCCTCTCACCTCCTTGGCCAGGCGAAGTTTCTCCTGCAGGTACTTGATGTCCCGGCTGTGCTCCCGCTGCTTCTCACTCACTGCCTGCATCTTGGTCAGAGCAAGCTTCATCCTGCCCCAAGGAAAGCAGCGTGAGGCTCCCCCATCCCCCGCACACGTCCAGATCCAGGGCACTAGGGGCACTTCAATCTGGGGGTGCAGCCCAGGGGCCCCTCCAGCTGGATCCTTATGTTCCAGGCCAGGAGCCCCTAGTGGGCGCTCTGGGATAACCTGACCCCGGCAGGGAGAGGCGGCTTGTGTCCTGGGCAGGGGGCCAGACCCTGCTCCTGGGGCAGAGGGGGGAAAGGAGGCGCCCGATCCCCATTCTCTCCCTCAGCCACGTCTCTTTAGTCACAGCAGCCTGGCACACACAAGACTGGAGCTGTGGTTGCACGGGCCCCCAGACCACTGCTGCCAGCTGTTAGAATGGGGGCAGCTTGAAGGCCCTCTTGCTGTGTGTCTAGACCCCTCAGTCCAGCCGTTACTGACATGGGAAGTTTACCCTGCTTAGCGCTGATGGACCGGCCCACAGGCTGTGGGGCATGACACACTGCCCATGGGCAGGCAGAGCAATGTGGGGGCACCATGGGGCCGTGGGGGTCAGAGTTAAGGTTGTGATGGGGAGCAGGTTTGGCCTCATTCCTCACCGATCAGCCTGAGTCCGGCTCTGCCTCTGCAACTGTGCTGAGAGCATGAGGAAAGCGTCAAGGAAATCTAGGAAGGTCTTTGGGGTGACGAGGGGTGTGCCGGGGGCCAGGTGTGTGGCATAGCAGCTGGCAGAGCGGTGAATCAGTGCCATGGCTGAGGCAATGCTGGCAAGCGAATTCTCCAGGGCCTGCAATGACGCTGGGACTGACAGACAAACAAGTGGACACCATGAGAGACTGTGGAGAAGAGGCAGCCGGGCCCATGGGTTGGAGCTGGCCAGCACGAAGGGCCAGGCACTTGGTGCCTGTATTCTGTGCCAAACCCAGATGGGCCTGGCCCTTTGCCAGCTGCACGGCCGCCATGATCCAGGAGAGGCTGAGACCCCAGAGGCAGACCAAGCCCTCACCTGGGCTCTTCAGGGGCTGTTGGCTGAGGGCATCTTCCAGGTGCTGGGTAGCCACCTGCACCAGGGACTCCTGGCTCCAGGGCTGGTACACGTCAATGCTGCAGGGGAGGGTGAGCAGGGCTGTGGCCATGGCTGGGGGGTAACCCAAGGGCCCCCTGCCCTGTGCCCAGCCCTTGCGCCCATCCAGCAGAAGCAGCATGTGCAGATTGTTCCTCACAAACTGGTAGAACCTGAAAGAGACGGCAAAGGGTCTGAGGGAAGAGAGGGGGATCCCCAAGATATGGGGTGACACCAAACCTCTCCCTCCCAGTCCAGTTTGAGGGGGACTGACACTAACCTCCT